CACAGGAGACTTTCTCTCGCCCGCCCACGCAGCTTCGCCTCGCCCGCACGGCACGCACGAACACGAAACCGAAATCGATTTCCCGGTAGGGGGGCTCTCCGTTCCACTTCGATCTCACCCCCCAACCTCCGATTATTACAAACAAACGTATCTAAACTTAAGCGTACTCTTACTAAGCATACAACCGCTACGAACACGAGCACACAACGTATATCACAAGTAACACTAAGAGGATGAGCAGGAGGAGGACCAGGATGAGGAGGATGAGGAGGAGGAAGAGGCGGAACAGGAGGCGGAGGAGGAGGAGCATGAGGAGGACGAGGATGATGATAAGGACAAGAAGGAGGAGGAAGAAGAGGGGGAGAAGGAGGAGGAGGAGGAGGAGGAGGAGGAGGTAGGAGGATGGAGAAAGGAAGAGAGGGAGGAAGGAGGAGGAAGAGCGAGGAGGAGGCAAAGAGGAGGAGGAGGAGGAAGAGGAGGAGGGGGTAGGAGTTGGCAGGAGTTCATTGAGGGAGGAGACGGAGGAGGAGGAGGAGGAGGATGAGAGGAGGAGGAGGAGGAAGATTGAGGAGGAGGACGACGAGGAGGAGGAGGAAGAGGGAAAGTTTCACGTCCTGGGCAAACAGTAATAAAAGGGGAGGAGAAAGAGGAGGAGGATGAGGACTCGTGAGGAGGATGACAGGGAGGGGAGGAGGAGGAGGAGGAGCGGAGGAGGAGGAGGAAGAGGTTAGGAGGAGGAGGAGGGAGGAGGAGAGTAGGGAATGAGGAATGGTATGGAGGAGGAGGAGGAAGGAGGAGGAAGAGAAGGACGCGGAGGAGGAGGAGGAGGGAGGAGGAGGAGGAGGAGGAGGAGGTAGGGGGAGGAGGGGAGGAGGAGGAGATGGAGGCGGAGGAGGAGTGAGGAGGAGGCGAGGAGGAGGAGGGGAGGAGGAGTAGGAGGAGCAGGAGGAGGAGGAGGAGGCGGAGGAGGCGGATGATGATGAGGATGATGATGATGATGATGATGATGACGAGGAGGAGGAGGAGGAGGAAGAGGAGGAGGAGGAGGGTCGTGGAGGAGGAGGAGGAGCAACAAAAATTATAGTAATAAGAAGAATACTAAACTAATGATAGCAATATGTTAAGAAGAAAACAATCATAACAATCAGATAATGAAACTAGCAATACGAATACTAATCATACGATGAAGAATTACATCCATACTAAGCTGAGTATTATTATTCAGTACACTAAGACTAGTAGGAATACGAATACTACGTATAATAAGCATACTACACATACTAGTATAACTAGTAGTACTAACAACCATATTGAACATACAAATTCTAAGAGCAACTCACAATCATGACATTACAAATCACAATGCGAAACATGATAATAATACGGTTATTGTTAATATTTATATCACTAATACCAGCAATAAGACTAATACTACTAGTCATGCTAATACGAATACTAGTAATACGAACAAGACTTATAACAACTAACCATAATGCGAATAATACTAGCAACACTATTATGATGTTGATGATGAGGAGGAGGAGCAGGAGGAGAAGAAGGAGGAGGAGGCGGAGGCAGCGGAGGAGGAAAAGGAGGAGAGTTCGGTAGCCATTTTGCCAATGCCTCCTCGAATTCGTCCCATCGCATACTTTTGCGTCGGCGGGCGGCCGGGATGCACAACTGGCTGCGAGTTCACACTCGAAGAGCGGACGTCGAGCTTCGGATGTTCTGTGTTCGCGTCGGCTGGACCGCGATTTAGCAGAGGCCTCAATTCAGCTCAACCAGGCGTAATTTACCGAGGATACCGCGTACCTCGGGAGCGACGCATCTTCCAAATCAGGCAACGCTTTATCCAGTCGGAGTGCTCCACCGGACAACGGCAAACCCGAGAGTTGGAAGGAAACTTTGGACACGTGCACAGGCCTAGCGACTACCCGAAGCAAACATGCAGGGGGAAGCGTTGTGTGCGGAAGGGGACAAAAGCGGCCGCCGCAGAGGGAAGCTAGCAGTACAACTGCGCACAGAGCCTGCAGCGTGTTTGCTGTGCATGGGGACTGGCTGGGGACGGTGTGTCTACCCACAGTGCCTGAGACCATCAGGCTCAAGAGAACCTATTCACCGCCGCGCTGCAAAGGATGCTTAGGGCGGCGAGGTCAAGGGGCGCGCCGAGGGGAAACCTGGCAGGGGCGCGGGGGAGCAAGCCCCAGACAGGGGCGGTCCAGACGCGGACGACCCCCTGGGAAGCGACGTGCAGAGATGACGAGTGCGATAGTGATGGTGGCAAAAGAGTAAGGAAGAGACGTTGACAGCTATTAACAATAACAGTGCGAAGTGCAATACGAAGAGGAATGCGGACAACAATTCCGTTCCTCGTGTCAACAATATTGGAAGTACGCATCGGAAGAGTGATACGGTGTTCCAGTCTCTTGACTGGCCGAGGGGGCTGCCCTTTCAGAGCCGCGGCTCCTGAGCTGCTGGAGCCAGGCTTTTCCTGGCCTGAGTCTGTTGGCTGTCCTGTGGGCGGCGACGCCTTCTCGCCATCCTCGGTTCGTCACTCCACCTACCAGCCGATTCTTTAATCGCTTCGTTCATTCTGCCGGCCCATATAGCGCCACCATCGTAGCCGCGTGCCCTTTGACGCATGACGGTTCGACTGGGGAATTGCTGAGTGGTGGCAGTTTGCCTGAGTTGTTGGCCCATGTCGGACCAGCGTAGCCACGTGCTTGGGGGTGGGGCGAGTCGGGAATTGTTGAGTGGTGGCAGTTTGCCCGAGTGGTCGGCGTTCTCGCCCAGACGGCGTTCGAATTGTTCCGCGCCATTGCGCCTCGGGTAATCCAGGGTCGGTGGATGTTCTCCAGGAAGAAAAGGATGATGATGATGATGATGATGATGATGATGATGATGATGATGATGATGATGATGATGATGATGATGATGATGATGATGATGATGCTGCTGATGATGATGATGATGATGATGATGATGATGATGATGAGGAGGAGGAGGAGGAGGAGGAGGACAAGGACGAGGACG